CAATTAATGCACCAAATATTTTGATGTTATTACTTTGTTGTATTTTAGTGCCTAGTAACTATAGACTATAGACTTTTACAATATAAGGATTAATATTATATTATAGCTTAGGCCGTGCTCTTGTTTAAGTGCAATTGATAAATACATGCCATATTATGATTTTAACATAGATTTTATTGTTATTTGTCATTATTTAGATCTATACCTATATCTAGAATCTTAAGTAGATACTCTCTGAATATTTTTAATTGTCTTTGACTGTAATAAATATTTTTTGAAAGGCCTTAATTATGAGAACAATAGAACCATACCCAAAGATAAAAGTTATTTATGATGCACTGTATGCTTTTGTTTGCATATTTCCAGAACTATGACACCCCAAAGCTGTCCATGCCCATCTTATTTATTTACATGATCTGTATTTGAAAAACTCCCAGTAGTGTATATTCATAAAAATAAAAAATAATATAACAAAGCCATTCTAAGCAAAACAAAACTGAAACTATACCAAATAATGATATGTAAGCCAACCATTAAATCTTGAAGGCCTTACAAAGCAAATACTTTTAACTGTCTTCATAAAATATAAAAAATCAGAGCCATCTGTATTTCTGGCGGAAGAGCATTTTAAGCAACTGGACCACTACTGAGAAGTTCTATTTCTGGGTCTACCTTCAAAATCTTAAAGGAGAATAAAACTTAAAGCATTTTCCCTTTGGTTAAATACATAGGATGGATATATCTAATTGGCTAGAGACTGAAGGTATCTACAACCCAAGCCATTTAAGATTTTTACATTAAAATAAGCACTTTGAAATGTACTAAAATTTATTTGTATGCAATGACCATACAAATCAGTGATACAAGGCTGTGGCAATTCTCATTTTGAACCAATTATAGCTTTAAAGGAAGACCATGTATGTATGATAATAATCTTATAATAATAATAATAATAAAGTTGGAAGGGACCTTGGAGGTCATCTAGTCCAACCCCCTGTTCAGGCAGGGAACCCTACACCATTTTGGACAAATGGTTGTCCAGTTTCTTCTTAAAAACTTCCAGTGTTGAAGCATTCACTGCTTCTGGAGGCAGGTTGTTCCACTGGTTAATTGTTCTAACTGTCAGGAAGTTTCTCCTTAGTTCTAGGTTGCTTCTCTCTTTGGTTAGTTTCCACCCGTTGCTCCTTGTCCTGCCTTCAGGCGCTTTGGAAAATAGCTTGACTCCCTCTTCTTTGTGGCAGTCCTTGAGATATTGGAACACTGCTATCATGTCCCCCCTCGTCCTTCTCTTTGTTAAACTACACATACTCAATTCCAACTACCATTCCTTATATGTTTTAGCATCCAGGCCCCTAATCATCTTTGTTGCTCTTCTCTGTACTCTTTCTAGAATCTCAACATCTTTTTTTACATCGTGGTGACCAAAACTGGATGCAGTATTCCAAGTGTGGCCTTACCAAGGCTTTGTAAAGTGGTATTAATACTTTGCGTAATCTTGATTCTATCCCTCTGTTAATGCAGCCTATCACTGTGTTGGCTTTTTTGGCAGCTGCAGCACACTGCTGGCTCATATTTAAATGATTGTTCACCAGGACTCCGAGATCCCTCTCACAGGTACTACTATTGAGCAAGGTACTCCCTATAGTATACCTGTACATTTGGTTTTTCTTGCCTAAATGTAGAACCTTACTTTTTTCACCATTGAAATTTCATTTTGTTAGATAGCGCCCAGTGTTCAAGTCTGTCCAGATCCTCCTGTATCCTAAGCTGTCTTCTGGAGTGTTGGCTATTCCTGCCAGCTTGGTGTCGTCTGCAAATTTGATAAGTTCCCCATCTATCCCCTCATCCAGATCGTTGATGAAGATGTTGAAGAGCACTGGGCCCAGAACAGAACTTATGCCATTGTTACCAAGAACTTATCAATAAAACCCTCAGCAGTATTATGGCATGCAGTGTTAAACCCGTAATTAGAAGATGTCTATATTAGTCTTAATTAATGACTAGTTTTAACAGGTAAAACCTACAAAGCATACACACCACAGAGATACATGTATCTATACCGATACATTGTATAATATTGTTGAAATTCATGGGACAGATAACTTCAGAATTAAGGTAATATGTCTTTTTACAAATCAATTAGAACTGCTCACAAACAGTTTACTAGCTCAACATCAAAATAATACAGTAAACTTTGTGTTACAAAGAAAAGTATGGCAACAATATCATTAGAAGAAACTGTTTTTCAGAAAAAGACATCAGATAAACATAAAATGGCCCAAGACATTCTAGGTTATAGTGCATCTCCAAGCTAGCAACTGCAATAGTTTGGGATATAGAAAATTTCATTTATATTATCTAAACCAACAAAACCCCAGTATAGACCAGCATACTGAAATATATAATAATATAATTTCCTTGGGTGTCTCTCCACATATTCAATTTAGGTAAAACTGTAATGTAAATGTGGAAGTTTTGATAATTACTTATCATCTGAAAGATATCAATTTCCTTTACATTTGAAGGAAATTATTAGGATGCTATTCAGTGTAATTATGTACATTCTTTCTTTCAAGGTTATCTCATATGATAAATGAGAATATTTGGTTTGTATATAATTCAACCAATTCTAAGATAGCAAAAAATATCTAAAACATTTAGAAAATTTAGATACCAGGATTGTAAAAAATCTTTACCACCCAACACTAAAAATATGTAATGAAGTATTTTATTCATCCTCCTTTACTTTGAAAGCAACTGACATTTCAAATATAAACTGGAGTATTTCACAGTACTAGTTTTGTGATTATGTCCACCAAACTGGATAATTTTGGGGATAAGACAAATTCATTGAAGCTAAGAATACCAATACTCACTCTCTCTCTCTCTCTCTCTCTCTCTCTCTCTCTCTCTCTCTCTCTCTCTCTCTCTCACACACACACACACACACACACACACACACACACACACACAAACACCGTCAGAGACACTATATACTAACTTTATATTAGTATCAATTATACAAGAATCAGTTAGAGCAGGGGTGTCAAACTGCCGGCCCACGGGACAGATGTGTCCTGTCAAAACTGCGCCACCCCATTGCTGGCAATGGGAAAAAAGTCGTGATATGTCACTTGACTTGCGAGTTTGACATCTCTGAGTTTGAGGATGATATAGCACATGTTGTGTCTGTAGACTTCCTAGTAAGCATCCAATCAGAACCTTTCTGACAGACTAGGGAACAGTTTAATTTAATACAGTTTTATATTCTGAATCATTCTTTTTCTGTCTCCTAAATGTACAGATCCAGTATATCAGGGCTTTTCAATCTTTTCACCCATTGTACCACTTTTAGGATATGGCAACATCCGAGTACCACCAGTCGTCTAACAAGGTATCAAAAACTTGATGACCCCCCCCAAAAAAAGGAAAAAAGTGATAAAGTACAGGTAGTCCTCGACTTACAACAGTTCGCTTAGTGACTGTTCAAAATTACAATGGCACTGAAAAAAGTGCCCCCCAAGCCACAGCCGAGCAAGACAACTGCCTGCCCGCCTGGTGGCGCTCTTCCTCCTGTCCGAGGTTTCCATTTTTGTGAGCATTTCTGTTGAGGATTGGCAGTGGGGGTGGGGTGGGGGTGTTTGGTTTTTATTCTCCGTCTGCTGGGTGGTTGCAGCAGGTTTTGGTCACTTCACATGACCCTGGGACACTGTGACCATCATAAATATGAATCAGTTGCCAAGCATCTGAATGTAAATCACAAGACCCTGGAGATGCTGCAACATTCCAGCTGATCGGCGCTTCTTCTGGATTCAGCAGAAGTGCCAGGATCAGTGCCGAACTGCAGCTGGAGCCTGGTGCTGATCCTGGCGCTTCCGCTGAGCCCTGACCGCCCTGCAGCTTCAGCCATCTCAGGCTTGTGTAGTGCTGCCACTGGTTCAGCTCATTCCCCTCCCCCGCTACCACTTTTCTAGGATAGTTGCGTACCACTTGCCAATGTACCACAGGTGATATCCGTACCACTGGTTGAAAAGCCCTGCAGTATATCATATGAGTATCAGCTGGCTCAATCATGCCAAATTTGGGAGAGAAAAATAATATTGATCACTTAATAGAAGCAGAATTAGCAATAGGCACACACATACAATTATGCATTGACTTACACATCTCATAAATATATAACAATGAAAAATATTTTCCATTTTTTTACTACTGCTTATGATAGTTTTCGTGTTGGGTTCAGCACATCATTGGGGAAATTGTTAGACAATTTCTAATAATAATCTGATGCTTGTTGTGATAATATACGATTTTTAGAAAAAAATGTGTTGACTTTAATAATCACTATTTTAACAGTTTTGATGGCATTTCCAAAGCAGTCAAGAATTTCAGTTATCTAACATCATTTAAATTTATCTCCAGGACAGGTGCTATGCAGTCCAATTCTTTCTGTAATAAGGAAGCTCTGCAGAGTGTGTGGGCCATGTACACACACAAAGTACTAAGAACATAGAACAGAATATTACATATTCTTTTCAGTGGCTCCAGCTTGGATAGATGACCAAGCAGGTGCTTATTTTTTATAGGTGCTTATGATGCTGGCTGCTGAATTCTCAGAGGCACAAGCAGTAGTACTATTTCAAACTGCTATGAAGAGATTAGGGGCTGGAAATAGTATTGTATAGTAGTACCATTTATTTGTTCCTTGAAAAGAATATCAATCCAGTGGAAGTAAACTAATTCCATGCATGACTTGTACTTTTAGTTAAAGCAAAACTCAGATGTGAGAAAATTATTTTTAGGTAGTTATAAATGTCAAGCTACTTTTTTGTCATTTATTAATCACTGGTTAGGAAATTTTATAGGCTAAATATTTGAATTAAACTTGGGGCAGTATTCAGCATTAAAAATACAGACAATGTTGTAAAATGAGAAGAACTTCCTAATTAATTAGCAAGAAATCAACAATATAGCTAGAATGGCTTAATTGAAAGACTTACTTATTCCAGGCTTGTCTAAGATTTTTAGCACTGTACTGTGTAAAGCGATCTGCAACAAAAAATAAGGACTTTTAATTTTATATTAAACATTTTCCTTTAATATGCTTACAATTAAAGGCAATGTTTACGAGCTAGCTAAAATATGCCAATAGTAAACAATAGCTTCTGAAATCAAATAACAAGAAAAGCAGAGAGTATCCCATTACTTGTAAAAATAAATCATCACCTAATTCCTAAAACCTAATAGTATGTCTGCAGATTAGGCAAATGGAATCACCACTAGGAAATCATTTATAAGAACAATAGCGCAGAACAAAATTGTTTATTAAATTTATATAAGAATAAGTTTCTTTTCAGATACCTTGAAAAATGTTAATTCAAAGTAACTACATGGAAACTATATTGGAAACTATTACATATTTAATATTATTAAATAATATCATTCCGTAATTTAATCTATCCGCCAATTTGTAAAAATCTTGCACACATTAAACAACTTTGCAGAGATACAATGATCCAATAGCATGTGTCTTGTAATGTGGTGCTCTTTAGCAAAAATGGATTAAAAACATCACAAATGCATGATTCAGGCTATCAGACTGAAGACTTTATATTCCAGAGTTTTATTCCTAAAGTGACAAATCATAGCACAGTTTCTCTTCATGTACATTCATATGATATTTTGATCATGGGATTGGAGGACATTAACACTGGTGCCTTGTTATGGAAAAATCATACCTTCTTTGTCCTCTTGGTCCTGTAGTTCTCCACAATTGCCCCCCTCCTCTGCAGGGAGTTAGGCCTGTTAATCAATCTACCAGACATGATTGGGTTTCACAAGGAAGTTGGATCAGACAGCCGTTGATTAGACAGCACCTGTGTGGACTCAGCGTGATTGAGGATTATACAGAATCCCTTTTCAAAAATCCATCTTTGGATCCACCTGTGTTAAATAACCTTCATATACTTTTCAACCTTCCCCTAGGCCCCTCCCACTCCTTTTAAATTTACATATAACTGCTGAGGAGAGATAATCCAACAGCATGTTATGGAGATGTAGAACTCCTATCTGGTCATCCAGATACTGCTGTTCAGATGTTGATCCAGTGCTTGGAGGTAGTGGCTCTAACTCAACATGGCAAGATCAAGTGGCCATGGATTTTTGGCTCCCACTGATCTGGTAAAGTGTCATTTCCAATTCTACAATCCTCCAGACAGACTTATGGGGGCTTTCCTGGATTTGCAGCTCCTGCTTGATGGTTGCTGAAAGCAACTGTAGCTAGAAGGATCTTTGCCCAGATTTACAATGCATTCAGAAAGTATTCAGATCCCCTTCACTTTTGTCAATTTTGTTATGCTGCAGCCTGATTCTACAGTTGTTGAAATTCATTTTTTTCTCATTAATATACACTCATATATATACCCTATAACAGTGTTTCCCAAACTTGACAATTTTAAGGCATGTGGACTTCAACTCCCAGAATTCCACAGCCAGCATTGCTGGCTGTGGAATTCTGGGAGTTGAAGTCCACATGCCTTAAAATTGTCAAGTTTGGGAAACACTGCCCTATAATGTCAAAGTGAAAAGAGAAGGTTAGAAATGTCTGTAAATTTACTAAAATATCACATTGGCATAAGTATTCAGACCTTTCACTCAGTACTTTGTTGAACCACCTTTGGCAGCAATTATAGCCTCAAGTCTTTTTGGGTATGATGTGACAAGCTTTATACACCTGGACTGGGGGATTTTCTGCTATTGTTCCTTGCAAATCCTCTCAAATTTAGTCAAGTTGGATAGCCATTTTCAAGTCTCTCCAGAGATGTTCAATAGAGTTCAAGTCAGAACTCTGGCTGGACCACTCTAGGACACTGATGGCGAACCTTTTAGAGACCGAGTGCCCAAACTGCAACCCAAAACCCATTTATGTATCGTCGGGTGCCAGATGGGCATGGCCCATTGGGTGGATGTGGCCAATTGGGTGGGCGTGTCCCATTGGGTAGACGCGGCTGTGATGATAATGGCAGACTGAGTGGGACTAAAAAATTCAATCAATCAATTCCAACTTTGTGAGATCTTTTTTTTCCCCATGAGAAGTTGAAATTGATTGAACATTTTTTTTTTGCACATGGTGGCGGCGGCCTAAAGCGAAAAGGTTTTATAAAACCCAGCTGTAGGCCAAGGACTGGGGCGATGGCACGTGTGCCCACAGAGAGGGCTCTGCGTGCCACCTGTGGCACACGTGCCATAGGTTCACCACCACGGTTCTAGGACATTCATAGAGTTGTCTCTAAGACATTCCTATGTTGTCTTGATGAGTGCTTAAGATCATTGTCATGTTGGAAAGTGAACTTTTGGTCCAATCTAAGGTCCTGAGTGCTGTTGAACAGGTTTTCATTGAGGATATTCCTGCGTTTTACTCCATTCAAGTTTCCTCAACCCTGACCAGTCTCGCAGTTCCTGCTGCTGAAAAACACGCCCATCTCCATGCTTCACTGTTGGGAGGATATTGGGCAGGTGGTGAGTGGTACCTGGTTTCCTCCAGACATAATGTTTAGAATTGAGACCAAATAGTTCAATCTTGGTTTCATCAGACCAGAGAATCTAGTTCTTCACAATCTCAGAGTCCTTCAAGTGCTTTTTTGCAAACTTCAAGGGCTTTCATGTGTTTTGCACTGAGGAGAGACTTCTCTCCAGCCACTCTGCCATAAAGTCCAGATCGGTGGAAGGCTGAAATGATGGTTGTCCTTCTGGAATTATGTCTCATCTCCACACAGGAACTCTGGAGCCCAGTCAGAGTGACCATCAGGTTCTTGGTCACTTCTCTTACTAAGTCTCTTCTCCCACAATTTCTCAGTTTGTGTGGGCAACCAGCTCTTGGAAGAGTCCTGCTTGTGCCAAACTTATTCCATATGAGAATTATGGAGCCTTTTTGCTCTTAGGAACCTTCAGTGCAGCAGAAATTTTACTGTAGCCTTCCCTAGATCTGTGCCTTGCAGTAATCCTGTCTCTGAGCTCTGCGGGCAGTTCCTTTGACCTCTTGGCTTTTGCTCTGCTACAGTATGCACTGTTAGCTGTGAGATGTGTGCCTTTCCAAATCATTCCAATTAATTTAATTTACCACAGGTCGACTCCAATTAAGGTGTAGAAGCATGTCAACAAGCAAGAAAAATGGGAGGCACCTCAGCTAAATTTCAAGTGTTAATGGAAAGGGTTTGAATAATTATGCCAATATGATATTTCAGTTTTTTCTTTTTAATAAATGTATAGACATTTTTAAAATTCTGTTTTTACTTTCTCATTTTGGGGTACTGAGTGTAGATTAATGAGAAAAAAATGAATTTCAACAACTGTGGAATCAGGCGGCATAACAAAATTGACAAAAGTGAAAGCGATTTGAATACTTTTTGAATGCACTGTAATCTGTATGCCACTCCTGAACTGGGAGACTTTGCTTACCCCATCAGTCAGGCCCTAGTCATTTTCTAGATAGATTATTACAATAGGTTTCAGAGGAGGTTATCCTTCAAGATCATCATGAAGTTACAACCAGTCCAGAATACAATGTTGTGTACAATTCTGACATCCTAGTCTTTGCCCTTAGTACATTGTTGCTATGAAATCTGCATTTTTGATGCTGGTTTTATTGTCTTTTATGCCCCTCCTTTCTTAATCTCTCCCTCTCTTTCATCCAGAGTTACGATTCATAAGCTGGTTGGCCCAAAAGGTCCTTTAAGTAAATAAATATGATATTTAAGATATTGTGAATAATGAATAATGATAATTTTTCTCTCTATGTACATTTATTTTTATTCTTTGATTTTATACCCTTAATAAATTAATTTCAGCAGGGATTTGGTTGTTCTTATCCAAATACTCTATTAAATTAACAATTTGTCTTACATTATATTTCATATATCTTCCCATTATAAATCCAGATTGGTCAGTATGAATCAATTGTTTCAAAACCTGCATTAATCCATTCGCCAGTATCTTTGCAAAAATCTTATAATCTGTATTTAAAAGAGATATAGGCCAATAATTTCTAGGTTGGGACAGATCCTGGTCTTCCTTTGGAATCAATGATATAAAAGCCCTTCTCCAAGATGGAGATAGCTCTGCTCCCAACAAAATATCATTGAAAAGTTCCTTTAATGGTTCTATCATTTCTTCAGATAGCATCTTATAATAAATTGCTGTTAGTCCATCAGTATCTGGATCTTGCCAACCTTCAATTGTTTAATTGCAGAAATAATCTCTTCAGAAGTAATTAAACCATTAATCCCATCACGTTGGTCAATCGTAAGTTTAGGAAAATGTGCTTCCTGTAAATATTTTTCTATGTCTGAAATTTGTATAGTTTCACTAGCGTATAATTTTGAATAAAAATCTAAAAAAGTCTTTTTAATCAAATTTTGTTGATACACTTCTTTACCTTTATAAATTATTTTATCTATAGTCCTTGATTTCTGTTTCTTGCGTAATTGATAAGCCAACCATCTACCAGGTTTATTTGCATTACAAAATGTATTATGTTTCATATACCTCAAATTAGTTGCCATCTGATCCGCCATTAACATATTAAATTGCTCCTTAAGCAGAGTTATAGAAACCTTTAAGTTATTATCCATTGGGTTTGATATTAAAATCTTTTCCTTAATTTAATCTCATCTTCCAACTCTTTACATTTCTGAATCTGTTTACGTCTATGAGCATTATTCATAGAAATCAAAATCCCTCTCATATATGCTTTATTAGAATCCCATACCATTGGCATCGAGGTACCCTTATTCATGTTCCAAGCAAAAAATTCCTTTAAGTAACTTCTACATCTCTGTATATTCTCTTCATATCTAAATAAATTCTCATTCAACCTCCAAGACCTTCTAGTCCCTTCTTCGAGCAAAATTTCCAACCATACAGGACTATGATCTGAAAATATTCTAGGAAATATCTTGATATTCTTCACTCTAGAAAAGAAATAATTAGTAACTAAAAAAAAGTCAATTCTAGAATAAGATTGGTGCCTATCTGAGAAAAAGGTAAAATCT